AGAGGTGGACGATTAACAATATGTGTTGCTCCTGTTTTTTCCAGTCTTAGTCGTCATTAAAAGAATGAAATTTAAGATATTGCCCTTCTGATCATAAGTATTTGTGAAATATGATGTATGTATTTCAAGTTAGCAGTGTAATAACATATGAGAGTAATATCGTACAATTGCTAGTAATAATATTTTGGTAGAAAAAGAGTTGTTCTATATTAACAAAAACGTTGTCAATTGATTTAGNTTGTATTCGGTCCCATATCCTATTGGTTTGTCAACGCGGAATATAAATCAAGATTTTAAATGGTAGATTTGAGAGTATAATTTTGATATTCAGACAATCTAGGATGATTGATTTGTATGATTCACTTTTTGAAGTACACATAACTCTCGGATTTAAATCTGAAGTTTCCGCATTTATTTGTGTACTCAAAAAGTGAGGCCACTCTAGAATCGGTCAGTATGTCCGGCCGGCCGTTTACACGATAACTTTCGAAAGGAGAGTACGATTCCGATGAAATTTTCTATACAGTTCAGCCTTTACAATATCTCGGTCGAGTTCGAAGATGAGAAGGATCGGCCGAGCCGTTCCTAAGTTATTGCAAAAATATCAATTTTTCCCTATAGCTTCCTATGGAAAAATCGACCCATCGCCGCTTTCGTAAAAGACTTTTCCTATCATAGTTAATTAAAACCCCAACTATTATATACCATTCGATAGCGAATTTCACGAGCTACAAATGGTATATAAAACATAAAGAAACAAGAAGATTAACTCAACGATTACAAAGATAACTAAACGGAAATTGGTTCTGTTTTCGTCCACACTCTAATTGATCCACAATTGAAGCTCAATCTTCTGATCACAGAGATGATACTTTGAGGTTTTCTGGGCTGGAGAACTCGACTCTGTACTCAGCTTACCTCGAAATCCTATTGGTTGAGAGGTAACCAATAGAAATCAAGTGATGGAAAAAAACGACTTTCTTAGGGTAAATCAAGACGGCAAGTTCGAATCTGAGCTGTATTTGCCCCCAAGTTATATTGGGTGAGCAATAGCCAATAGAAGTCAAATGTTTATAGGAAAGATTTGCCAGGATAATTTTGATGTCCACACATTCTAGGATGACTCATCTGTCTAATTCACTTTTTGAAGTACACATAACTCTCGGATTTAAGTCCGAGGTTTCCACATTTATTAGTTTTCTTTTCGCGATGATATTTTATATTATCATACTTACGGAAAAAAAATTGCGAAAAAATAGTGGTATACTAAACGGCTGTTTTCAATACCCGCGGTAAGACGTAGTTTCTAAAAACTAAATTAACTGTCTGACTCCCGAGACTTTTCTGGAAGGGATACGATGCAATTATTTTTTGGACCGCAGTACATCACGGGTTTTGAAACTGTGTCTAAGTGCAATGTGAAATATGGCGATTATTAATGGGTAAACCGCGTTTTTTAAAACCGCAACTAACCGCGATATAAAATACCACGATCTAGCTGTATGTAGCCGCGGTGTCCTGGCAGAAAAGCGTGGTGAGTTGAAAAAATCGCGGTTAACCGTGGTTTTACTGAAAAAATTTTTCCGTGGATATACTGTAGAAATAGTGATGCCGAGTATGTATTTCTGCAATGGGTAGGATCGTTATCACAAGATGATGATGCTAATGATTGAATTGAAATTTTGATATATACATTAAAAGAACTCCATAAATGTTTCGTAAGTAAAATATTTATTTGAAGAATAAATTAAGCAGATCGTTCTGTTCCTGACTTTTAGATAAAATATAATATGTCATCCTTTACACCTTATCGAACTTTTTTTAAATCTTTAGATATAAACATTGATTTACTTGAAAAACAAGTCGCTGAATCAGGAACATATCAACAATTACATGCTATTAAACAAATATCGTATGACAACATGTCTCGTAGCAATTATTCAATATTTTCTGTTTTAGGTTCGAAATGAATTTAATGCATATCTGAAAGTATATTTTATTTAAATCCATATAGAAATTTAAAAAAAAATGTTTCTTTTTCAGTGCTGGAATTCAATTAGTACTATCTGTAAGTTCTTATTTATTTTCTTTTCTTTCATTTTTTAATAGGGTCATGCACATATTACACTCTAAAAGAAATCGGTTTTCTACCGAAACTTAAAAGTTCTGCATTTCTGCACCGAACGATTTTAAGTTCCGTGGAGTGCAAATAGTTTCGTGGTTTGCTTTCAGAACTATTTTAAGTTCAACAGGTTTCATGTGGTTTCGCAATTTGGCTGCGAAACTCTTTGTAGGTTCCGTAAAGTGATTTGTGGTTTGACAGATCATGTACCAATCCTCTGACAGTTTCATAAAATGGCAGAAGGTTTCGTAATATGTCGACGGAACCGTTGATGACTTCGTAAACTGCAGAAAGGCTTGGAATATTTTATACCAAACTGTTGATGGTTTTGTAGAAGTTGCAAAGGTTTCATATTATTCGCACGGAACTTTTCGTCACTTTGTAATTTGCTTTAAGCTTTGGTAAATTTTGTAGGAAACGTCTGATAGTTTCGTAGATTATCTGAAGGTTTCGCAGTTTTCTGATAAAACCTTGCATGGTTTCATTCAATAGTAATACGTTTTGTATATTACGTACGAAAGTTTATGTGGTTCTGAGCACTATCGAAAGTTTTTTTGCTTTCTCGCAATCGAGAAGACTTCAGTATTAACTACAGTATAGTGTTATTTAAGAATATATATTTACGCAGCTATATAAGTCTCTGCAAAGTCTACCGATAGTATATGTAAGGATGAGAGAGACGCCGCAGAGAAATGGTTGTGCTTACTTTTCAAGAACAAATCAAAGTGAACAATCAAAACTTCAAGAAAAAAATTGAATCTATATCAAGCGGAATAAACTTATTTTTCTATGTGTTTCTAATTACGAAACTGATCAGTTTTCATAGTATAATTTTAACATCATGAAATCTAAAAACGTTTTTGTGATAATACCTTGCAAATTGACCATCAGTTAAACAAAAACATGTTTTTTGTCTAACGGGTGGTGGAAAAGTTCCTGAAAAAATGTCAGACTCTGTTGTATTTGAACAGAAAATGATAGGATGCTCATTCTTTTTTTGTTAGATTGAATATGGCTTCTACTTTCAAAATACATGTTTCACAGCCTTCTATTCATACACTGTGTTACAGTGTATTCTCATAACATATACCTCGATCCTCTCTATTCTCTTCTCTTTGATATTTTCGTTTCTGTCTTTTCGCTTCTTTAACTTCTTTTCTTTGTTCTTGATTAACCTTTGTCTTCTTTTCTATTTTGTCCATGTTTTTCATGTGCGTATATAAACGCTTGTTTTGTAAAAGAATAAACAGAGAGAATAAATCACACATACACACACACACACACGTTAACTCTGTTCGTCGCTCTTCATGAGCGCGAACGCTAACACACTGGTACCAAAATTCATTCAGTTCTTATAAAGCTCCTAAAAAGCAGACTGCAAACCAATTTAAGAGTAATCACATTGTATATCTCAATAAAGATATGTGCTTGTGAGCTAAAATGACTTCTATGTTGTGTGGCTTCTTAAAGATCATTTAGAGAATAAAGTTCAATTCATTTTCTGAAAAATGTGTTGAGATAAGTTGTGGAATATTCTATAACAGTAGGTTTTACAGTTTCATATATATATAATTAGCTTAGAACAATGAGTTTAATAAGGTTTTTGTGCATATTATTGTAGTCCTGAAAAAGCTCGATTTGGTCTAGTTTATCTTGTTATAATTGCTTATGAAAAAGGATACATAGCGCAGTATGATTTTTGAACAAAATATAATATGAATTTTCAAAAAATTGAAAATTTGCTTTTTCCTACTAATAGTGAATCATAATAACCAAGTTTGACACTGAGTTGTATGTGTGGTAAAAGTTTATATCAATTTGTATATAAGCTGTAAAAAGCAGTTCAAAATGTGCCATTTAAGGTAAGATATTTAAGTTTTTCTTCGAAGAAATCAATAGCCAAATTTCAGAAATTTACAGAACATTTTTTAGCAGTTTTAGAAAAATCGAATTGATTTCGTGACTACTGTCCATTCCAAAAAAGAAGGCGGGTGGGTATTTTTTGAATAACTTTTGATAGGTACAAGAGAGAAAGCTGCGGTTTTCACCATTGGAAAGAGACATATCTGGCACATCTATCCATATAAAATTGTTGAGATTCGTTTCATCTGCAACTAGTGATCCATGATCCCCTTGAAAGAGTAACCTATTGCTCTATGAAGATAGGATCAATTTTAAACTTTGAGGAGTGAACTAGAACCGGCAACTCAAGCTCTGCAAATCTACGAAAGGCCGAAATTTTTATCTCGATTTGTTCAAAGGTTATGAGCAAAATACTAACGATATTTGATCGAGTTTTTGTCAATTTTACCTTGTGTAGAATATTTTTCAAATTACCATTACTGATGTTTTTGATGATGACGAATGAATTGGTAATGTTCTTTTAAATATAGAACAACTCTTTTTCTATCAAAATACTACTACTAACGATTGTACGATATTACTTTGATATGTTATTACACTGTTAACTTGAAATACATACATTATATTTCACAAATACTTATGATCAAAAGCGACACGTTTAGGACTGTACGTAGATTGAATCATATATTTTTACGTTCTGTTTCTGGTATTTCTCTTATTGATTGTACCATAACATATTTTCAGCTATGAATAGTTATTTGTACTGTCGACGTTCACGATAAAGATGCCTAAAAGCTATGAATTTTCTCAAGACATGAAACAAATATTTTTCAATGTCATCAAATTTGTCGAAAAAGAGAAGTTTGGACCAGTAATCCCACTCTTCAATGTTAATGAACGACTATCATCTATGCTTGATATCTCTATGAGATCTGTTGAAAGATTAAAGATTGAGATGAAAGAAATTGAACATGACATGCAAGAAAGGAAGAGAAAAATGGAGGAAGCACAACAGATGTTAGAGAATCAAAAACGTCAGGTGGTTGGTCGACTTATAAATTTACGATCGAGATCATCATCATCATCATCATCATCTTCGTCTATAATTAGCACGAACACCATGGCAATTAGTGTTCCTGTTCCTCGTTCGCCGCACAAACTATCAAACTCTGGCCGTTCATCAACTCCTCTAACCGAACAACAACAAGAGACTATTCGCTGAGTTTAGTTTAACAGAAGAGTAATATTAATATGATCGTTGTTTTTTAGATTTCATATTCATTCTCTTTTAGCCGAACGAATCTATCCTACCATCAAAACAATTCTTGTCCGTATTCTGGTCGAAGATTCTAATTTTCCTATTCACACAACAACATCCCTGTGGCGTTGGGTGAGAAAAATTGGATTTGTATACAAGTGAACATCGAAAGTCATTGTACCACTCGATACCCCATCATTCATGGCTGCGCGTGCGCGCTACTTTGCTGCTATTGATGAACTTCGCAACGATGGCTCTTAGATTTTTAGCATGATGAAACATGGTGCAACAAAAACGAAGAGAGGCGTTTTGTATGGACTGATGGAACAACAGGTATAGGTCGAATGCGACATAGTCAAAATAAAGGTATTCATTATTTCTCTTATATTTCAACTGATAACCTATGATTATAGGAAAACGACTAGCGACTTCTGCTCTTCTAAACGAATCGGGCTTCCACAAGGAAACAATCGATATATTCGAATGTGATGAGAATCATAGTATGGACTCGAAACACTTTCTGATCTGGATTGATCGAACACCTTCTCTTTTGATAGAACAGCTAGGTAATATACTTTCTAACATTTCACTATGAATGTTACCGTTGACATGTCTAGGCCAGCATGTCAAGATTGTCTTGATTATTGATAATGCGACTTGGCATAATCAACTTACTGAAGACACTATCCCTCCGAAGAGAGCATGACGAAAAGATCTTGTCGTACAATGGTTAGTAAATCATAATATCAGAGTCCCTTTTAAAGCCACTAAAGCCGAGTTACTTGTGCTCGCTTTCGATAATCTACCACCAAAACGTTACGTGGCCGATGAACCAGCCAAAAAATACAATGTCAATATTTTACGGTTAGTTGAACTCCTTCAAAACTATTTTTATATTGATGAATGTATTTTCATAGCTTGCCGGTCAAACATTGCATGCTCAATCCGATTGAATTAGCATGGGCTGGTTTGAAAAACTACGTTCGTGACAAAAATGTTAACTTTAGTCTTAGTGACGTTGAACATTTGGCCTACCAATAGATGACATCTTTAAGTAGAGCAACCTTTATGGGATATATTAATGAAAGACGCAAGATCGAAGACATGTTCAAGAAGTCTGATCGGTTCATCGAAGAAGCCGAGGAACAATTGGTCGACGAAGAGGAAGAAGTTGATTCGGTAGCAGAAGAGGTGGGCGATTAATAATATGTGTTGCGCCTCTTTCATCCTTCCTTAGTCATCATTAAAAGAATAAAATTTAAGATATTGCCCTTCTGATCATAAGTATTTGTGAAATATAATGTATGTATTTCAAGTTAACAGTGTAATAACATATCAAAGTAATATCGTACAATCGTTAGTAATAGTATTTTGATAGAAAAAGAGTTGTTCTATATTTAAAAGAACAGTACCAATTGATTCGTCGTCATCAAAAATATCAGTAATGATAATTTGAAAAATATTCTACACGAGGTAAAATTGATAAAACCTCGATCAAATATCGTTAGTATTTTGCTCATAACCTTTGAACAAATCGAGATAAAAGTTTCGGTCTTTCGTACATTTGTAGAGCTTGAGTTGCCGGTTCTAGTTCACTCCTCAAAGTTTAAAATTGATCCTATCTTCATAGAGCAATAGGCTACTCTTTCAAGGGAATCATGGATCACTAGTTTCAGATGAAACGAATCTCAACAATTTTATATGGATAGATGTGCCAGATATATCTCTTTCCAATGGTGAAAACTGCAGTTTTCTCTCTTGTACCTATCGAAAGTTATTCAAAAAATACCCACCCGCCTTCCTTTTTGGAATGGGCAGTAGTATATGAATAGTAGTCTGTGAAACATGTCTTTTTAGAGTAGAAGACACACTCTCTCTCACAAAACAGAACGAGCGTTCTATCATTTTCTGTTCAAATAGAACAGAGTCTAACATTTTTCCAGGAACTTTTGCATCACCCGTTATATACGAACTTAAGCAATTCTCATTCATATACTTCTTTTTTAAGGAGAACAAATAAATTTTCCAAGAGCGTTAAAATATCATATTTTTTCATTCTAGATGTATTACCTATCCGTATTATTCGTATTCTATCTAAATTTTTTGGTGATCCCGTTGGTAATATATTTACTCATGAGGTAACTGTTTTTTCATCTTTTCAGTATAAAATATGTTTTTTCAACTTTATACATAGGATGTACTTGTACCTTATCCATGTATGAAAATTCATGATGATAGATTTGAGCTTTTTCTGAACTTTTGTTTAATAACAGAAACTACTTCCTGTTCCACAGCTCTATTGCTCTTCTTCTATCTTTATACTATGTTTTCGAAATTCAATTCAGCCTACATAATCGAACATGTCCTCTTCTTTGTGGCATATTATTTGAAGATTCACATTATCTCAATAAGGCGCTCAAAAGCTTGCTCAATAACTGGCAATATAAAATTGTTAATCGACTATTGATGAAACGATAAGCAATGGTTACAAATGTGATCAAAAATTTTACTCAACCATCAATCGTGAACGAAAAAACCTCATATTCATTCAATAATTCAAATCAAGTAAGTCTCTTAATCTAATTTGTTAGCTAAAAAAAACATTTTAAAATAATATTGTGATATGTCTCTATCTCTAATTATCTCCTAGAAGTATTAAAACTTTTTTTTCACTATTCCTTCTGTTTCGCGATCTATAGAGAGTGCTATATTTTTTATAAAGCATCATCACCGAAATTATTTTCAAGCTTTTAGAAATACAATAAGAACAATTAGTCGAGTTGTCTCATTTTAAAATGAATAACCGACATTTTAAGTTCCTGTTGCTTTCTCCCAGAACACACGATAAAGGTTTACTTTTGATATTGCTTTAGATTGTTGATGAATCACTTGACCAACTTGAACACGATCGATAGTCTTCGTCTTATTTAAATTTTACAATCTCAACCAATATTGATCAACAATCTCTTAATGAACAAAATGATGATGATCTTAATCAAATATCAATAGCCTCTCTAGACGCTATGTCTCAATGTCGTTCACCAGTGATCTTTCAAAACCAAACAGCACCATCCGTTATCATCGAAGATCATTCCAACAATATATATTCACAGAAAAAAAACAGAATCTATCCTTCCGCTAAAATCGTCATCAACAGAACATTATGAAGATGAATCACATACATACACAGAAGTCAAAGTATCTGGTTCTACAGCTGTTAAACGAAAACGTAAAAAATATCAAAGTTCATCTTCATCCATCATAACAACAATAAAACAGTCAACAAGACTTGCAGCTAAACGAGTTCGAGTTGAATAAACTTCATTGAATAGACTAATTTTTTTTTGCTTTGTTCCTCTTCTGTGTACGTCATTATGTTTCTATGCTTTGCTATTTCATTTATATTGTACTTTTTCTTTATATTTTCATATGACGTCATAAGAAGAGGAGAATTTTAGCCTTTTTAAACAATGTTTTTTAAAACGATTCGCCATGTATACATCAAATCAATCAGTGAGAAACTGTAAAACAGTAGTAAACATTCATGCAAGAATCAGTTCGTCAAGCGGACAAGCTCATTCACACAAACAATCAATCAAGCCAGTATAACAGAGCATATTGTTTCGATTTTTTCAACCGTCCTTATATATTACATTTTAAAAAAATGAAGCGCACACTATTTTATTGAACTAATTCTAACAGCGAGCTAGCTAGTTTTATTAATACTGTAAATAGAATTATTTTTGCCATTACACACTCACTTGAATACATAAATCCAGTAAGTTTCAATTAATCAAATAAAACCAAATCAAATAACATCATTCATTTTCCATTGCACGTCGCTTAAAACATACAAACGACAGATACGCTCAACTTTAGGAAATAAATAAATAAATTTCTCTATTATCTAATGACCAATATATTCAATTTTAGGTAACTTTCATCAGATCACATGTAATAAATTCATTTATTTTTCACTATACGTTCGTCGATATATGTACTCTCAGATGACTCTCATCTTCTCAAATCAAAAACCATTATTTATTTATTTCTTATAGGTTCATCAATATATGCACGTTTAAGTAAGTTTCATCTTACGAAATAAAAAGAATTATTTCTTATATTATTATTGGTTCATCGATATCCGCATGTCTAAGCAAGTTTCATCTTCTCAAATACAAAAAATTATTTCTTTTATAATTATAGGTTCATGAATATATGCACATTGACGTAAGTTTCATCTTCTGAGAAAAAAAATTATTCTTTTTTGCATTCTAGGTTTCTCGATATATGCAACATTTAAGTAAGTTCTATCTAATTAATTAAAAAGAACTATTAATTTTTTTTAGTATAGATCCATCGATGTACGCACGTTGACGTCAGTTTTATCTTCTCAAATATAAACTATTATTTATTTTGTTACTATAGGTTCATCCATCTATCTACATTGAAGTAAGTCTCATCTTGTGAAATAAAAACAATTATTTGTTTTATTATTATTATAGGTTCATCGATATATACACGTTTAGGTAAGTTTCATCTTATTTAAAAAAACGAATTATTTCGTTTTTTTATTATAGGACCATCTCTTTATCGACCTTTAGGTAAGTTGTATCTTATTTAACAAAAAATATTATTTATTTTTTTTATTCTAGGTTCACCGAGATATGCACGTTTATGCAGGTGTCATCTTATTTCAGAAAAATAATTATTTGTTTTATTATTATAGGTTCATCCATCAATCGACTTTTAGGTATGTTAGATCTTCTCAAATACAGAGATTTCCACGTTTAGGTATGTTTGAATTTTTATAATATAAACTATTATTAGTCTTTTTGTTTTAGGTTCATTGAGATATGCATGTTTAGGTAAGCTTTCTCATATTTAAAAAAAGAAATTATTTATTTTCCTATTCTAGGTTCATCGTTATATACATACATGTTTAGGTATGTTAAATCTTATTT